CCCGAAAGCCAAGCCCACCCACCCATAGGGCCCGCTGCCGCCCCCATTGCGCGGATGCAGAAACTGAGGCTCCACGGACTCGCGGCAGTGCAAAACCAGCCTCCTGGGCGCGTTAACCCCCGGTGTGCCAGAGCCCACAGGGACCGTCCAGCCTGGCCCTCACCCCACCTTAGCCCATTACAGCCACCAGAGCCCAAGGACTGCCCACCCGAGGCCTAGCGGGGGAGGCTGCCACGTGCTGTCTGCATACGGGTGGGGCCTGAGGGCTGGGTGTCTGTGAACTGACTGATTGTCCCCACTGCCAGGTGCCATGATGGGCCTGTGGGTCGCTCCCAGGGCCCAGGGGACCCCAGCTTCCTGGGGACTCACCTGGTGGATGGGGTTCCGTCATTCCCTGGAGGCTGGCCTTGGCTGCTGCCCACCTCCACAGCTGCGCCTTCCCTGGGTATGGGCTGTGGTCAGAGAAGGGTGCAGGTGAGAATCCTGCCATGATGTCCAGGAGTCAGGGACCACAGCAGGATGCCTGCACCCTAACCCCGTGATCTGCTCGTGGGTGCAGCCCCCCATCCCCACCCCACAGACAGCCCACTTCCCACAGGCTGCCCCTTCTGTAGGTGGGCTCCCTCCACACCCTGAGTCCAGTCTGTGGCAGGGGATGGGAAGGCCTTCCCACAGGGCCAGTGCTGGGGGTGTCTGACTTGGGTCTCCCTTGGAGCACGGGAGCTGAGGGAGGGTCCCTGTGACTGGAGCTCACTCCGGAAAAGGAGGGCCCCTTCCCCCCTTCACAGCCACTGTCCCTGGACCCATGGCCCCAAGGCTGCTGGCAGATGATCTGCGGGACAGCTGGGGTGACTAAGGGTGGACCAAGTGGGAATCCCTTCTGCTGGGAGACCCTATGTCCAACCACAGGCCCAGGGAGCAACCTTGGCTTGGCCATGAGGTAGCCCTTGCTAACTGCAGGCAGTGAAGGGTTAAGAGAGGCTCAAGGAGGACGCCCCTGCCCAGTCCTCACCCTCTGCTGTTCCTATTGACCCTTTGACCTGCTGGATTCAGCAGAGGCCACTGGGAGGCCAGTTGGTCCTGATGCTGCTGTTGACCCTCAAGGGCGTTTGCTTCTCCGGGAGATACCCGGTAGGAAAGACCACAGCCCTCCTCCCCCACGCCCTGGGTGGGTGGGTGGGTGTGGGGAGCAGAGGCTTCCCCAGGACCCAAGGTGGCCTTACAAAGTCAGCCGTATGACCACCCTGCACCCCCGAGCCTGACCTCCAAAGCCAGCTTGACCCTAGGGCCATCCCTCACTCCATGGCCCACCAGACCTGCAGATTTGGCTCTGAGGAGCCTTTTCCCCAGCCCCTGGCCAGTGCCCCCTTGGGCCCTCTGGGAGTATGGGCCCTGGCAGGGGACGATGGAGGCTCCGTCTTCACACAAGCCCTCACCCTGCCTCCCACCCTGCATACCCTACCCCCGGGGGCCAGCGGCAGGGCTGTCCTACTCCAGGGGTTAGGTATTGGAGAGGGTAGCCGGTGGGCTGGTTAGATTGGGGTCCTGCTTGGGCCCCCTAGCTGTTGTCCTTGGCTAAGGGTCTTCAGCACCCCTCTGCAGTGGGATAGGCCAGCTGAACGCCTGAACCCGCCCGTCCACTCCCAGGCCATACTGGTATACCTGCTGCCGCCCAGGCTCTGCCCCACTGCCCGGTTGTCGGGCCAGGTGGCCCCTGACCCTCCACAAGGCATCGGTCCGCCTGCCTGCCCGCCTGTTCGGCCCGTGGGCAGGAGCCCCCATCTCAGCTGCGTGGCTGGGGCAGGAAGGCGCTCCCGGCGGGAGGGCGGCTTCTTATGCTCTGCCGCCCCGCGTAAATCGGGACCGGGATGGGCGCTTCCCGGCGGGACTTCCTGCGAGTGTTCTCTGCTGATAACAGGGATCTGTCAGCAGAACAAACAGGAGGCGGAGGGGTGGGGGCGCCCCTGGCCTCAGAGCGCGACCTTGGACCAGCCAGGGACCAGGCTCATGCTCAGCTGTGGCCTGCTGGGGGTCCGGTGCCCCTGTGGTGCACGAGTTGGGGGTGGGGACACCTGAGATGCTGGGCCACCAGCTGTGGGTCCCTGATTCTGGATTCCAGGACACCCACCTGTTCCCCCAGATGTGTGTGAAGACACAACGTGCCAGCCCTGGGGGCTCCCTATTGACTGGGGAGGGCTGGGGATGAGCAAGTCTGGCTGGGGGTCCTGGGAGGGCCCTTTGGGGTGGGCGCAGGCCTGGGCTGCCGGGAGTCAGGGCAGTGGTCAGGGTCTCTTCCAGGGCTATCAGCTCTTCCTCTTGGAAGGGGATGCCCAGTGGTGGTGAGTGCCCTGTCCCTGAAGAGTAGCTCACTCAGGTGCTGAGGGTTGAGGGCATGAGTACAGGGGCTGAAAGCGCAGGAACCCCAAGGGCAGCCAGCTTCTCAGCCCTATTCTCCCTCCTCCCGTGAGCAAGGTAGAGGCCTGGGGAGCCTCTAAGCAGCCAGATGAGAGCCACTGTGGGTTACAGGCCCGGCCTCCGGGGCTTGGCCTCTCCCTCCCTGGGACAGGCAGTGTGGGGGTGGGTTACGCATGCTTAAGGGAAGCGGCTTGTAACATGTCCCAGATGCCAGTCCCCTACGGTCAGGCAGGTCCCCCAAACTCGGAGTGCCCTGGAGACCAGGCCCTGCTTTAGGGAGCCGCTGCCAGTGGTCTGGGACACCTTCATGTCCACCCTGTTCCTCCGCAGCTGGACACCAGGGCCCAGCGGGAGACAGGGGAGGTTTGGGAAAGTCCCCACCAGGCGGCGGCTGGGGACAGACAGAAACTACCTGTATGGCGTCACCCATCACCCAGCATAGCAGGGCCCAGCTTCCTTCCAGCCCCAAGCCAGGGAGGGGCAGCTCAGCCCCCACCGCCAGGGCAGACACTGCTGGTGGGCTCTTTCCGGAGCCACAGCTGCCCTGTCTGTACAAGGTGTTGTTGCAGTGGCTGGAGGGGGCTTCTGGTCCCACCTGTGGGTCTAAGCTGGGGGAGAAGTCTCTTGCCCCCCACGCCTTTCTAGCTCACCGGCTCTGGGCATCTGCCTTCACCCTCAAGGGCTTCTTGTCCCCCCTGCCCCCCTATCATCCATCCAAAGTGGGCATGTCCTGCCGAGAACATCGGCCTGGGTCCAGTTGGGCTGCATGCACCCCGAGAGCCTGCACCTTCTCAGCATGCTCCCTGACCTCAGCCCAGCGTCTGCTGGGCGCAAGGCTGACGGAGCCGCAAAGGAGGCCCGAGCTGTGAGTCCGGGGAAACTGAGGCCTGTCCTCTCCCCCAGGTCCCAGCTTCCAGACAATGCTTTGCCAGGAGAACCCCGCATTGAGAAAGGCTGGGGGTGGGGGCAGCACACTGTGGGCTGCTGAGAACATGGGGTCCTGGATTAAGAGTGAGGGGTGGACGGGGGTCAGCGCCCCCTCCACATGCCCGGATGCTGGTGAGGGTGGGCTCCTGCTGCTCATGCTATCTTGAGTCCTCTGACACCCCCCACCCCCACTGTGCTCCAGCTCTGAAGTTCTGACACGCCCCCCCACCCGCCCAGGGGTTGTCCTCACCATGGGGGCCCCTGTCCTCATCATGGGGGGCTGCTCCTGTCACTGAGCCAGGCAGGTAAGGCCTGAGCTCCACCTGCCCCATACCTGAAACCTTGCCCCTGACCCTGCACAAGGGTGGGGGGTGAGAGTCCTTAGGAGTGTCAAGGTCGGGGGCTGCCTTCACAGGAGGGGGGAGGGTTTGGGTGCAGGGGGAGGGGTTGGACACAGGGGCGAGAGGTTGGGCGCAGGTAGAGACCCCTGTGAGTCTCTAGGAGGCTCTGGTTGTGAGCTGACTGGGGTCTGCCAGGGTTGGGGGTGATGGTGCTGTGGTGGGCGGGGCTCCTTCTGTGGGCACACTTAAGGAGGCCGGAGCCCTACCCCACCCCATTTTTTCAGGGGTGCCCTGCCCATCCAGTGTCCTCTGTCCTCTGACGGCCTACTGAGGACCCTCCTGGACGCTGTCCCCCAGGGGCCACCTTGGGAAGGAGCTGGTGCCTGTGCCCACCTCTGGCTCTTCCCTCATGCCAGGGGCCCACCTGGGAGTGTGGGGGAGGGGATCAGTCTAGGATCCCAGCACTTCCCTGTCCTCAACTGGGCCACCGGGAGCCCAGAGTCATACCCTGCCCAGGGGTGGAGGCTGGCCTGCCATGCCCCTGCTTGCCCCATGCCAGACCTCAGCTTTCACATCCACCCAGTGGTGCCCCGAACTCAGAGCATGGTGAGGAAGACCCCATGTCTTACCTCCCCAGAGCAGGATGGCAGGTCAGGTGTGGGGGGCTCAGTCCTCCTGGGACCCTCCCGGGACCCCTCACTTCTGAGCTTCCAGCGCCTGCAGCCCCAGGAGGAGGTGGACTGAGTCCTGGCCGCACAGGGCAGGCATCCCCAGGCCGGGAGTGCAGGGTGCACGGCCCAGAGCCTGCGCAGGAAGGAAAGAGGGACCTTACAGGGAGAGATGGGCTTCCCGTTGTCCTGGGACAGGATGCGCTGGCCCTTTCTGTCCTGGCAGGCAGGAGGAGATGGCAGGCCTGGGCTGTGGACCATGGGCCGGTCACACTTGAGCAGGGCTGGCCCCTCGGGTGGGGAGAGGGGACCTGCTATTCCCCTCACCCACCCATAGCACCTCCCTGCACAAGGACCCCACACACAGTAGTCACGCTAGCTGGGGACTCAGGGGTCTCTGGCCAGTGGGTGGACCCCTGTGCCCACCCTTGGCCTACCTTGCCTGGGGACTGTTCTAGCAGCCAGTTAGCTATCCACTGCCACTTGTCTCCAATCAGGCCAACTGAATCTGGGAGGAAGCCCATGGCCTCAGGCCTGGCTTCCAGAGCATGTCCAGGTGTCCCTGTCCTCACCCACACTGGCCCTGGACCACCTCCCTGCCCTTCAGACCCCTGGCCTATCATCAGCCCCCCTGGACTTCCTAGTGGGAGCACCAGGTCACCCTGCTCCCTGACATGTCCCCCACTCTGCTCCCTGCACACAAGCTCATGTGGCCTGGTCATGGGGGTGCTCCCAGCACACTCCGTGGCCTGCTCCGGGCAGAACCCCCTCCCAGCACTGGTGACACGGGGATCCCCAGACTTGGGCCTGGCAGTGAGCTGCCCCCCATGCCGCCACGTGTGCGGGCACTGTCTTCTGGGTCCCTCAGGCCAGTTCCTGCTCACGGGGGAGGGGGGGCAGACCCAGTGGTCACTGTCCTCAGCGGAACCTGGTCCTCCATGGGAACAGGCTGCCTCCCACCTTTCCAAGCCATTGCCCCCCGTCCACAAACTGAAGATGGTGCCTGTGAGAGGTGGGTGTGGACCCGGCGGGCACGCCTCGGGCCTGCCCCCAGCCGTGAGCGGTGGCTGCTGCCCACCGGTGTGTCACTGGGCAGTGTCTCGTTTCAGCTGTGGTGCTGGTCTATTTTTAACATGGCAGTGTGCGCACAATTGCAGTGTTGAAGGGAACTTCTCCCTGGGCCTTGGGGAGTGGGGGGCAGGGCTCCTTTGTGGGCGTGGGGGCCATGGCGTCCGTGCCAACGGGCAGCAGAAGGAGGGGGTGCGTGCTGCCTGGGCTCCCACTGAAACCTGTCCACAGGGGTGCCTGAGTCACAGCTATGCACGAAGCTCGCAGC